TATTTCCCCTCCGGCTAATTTGAATACATTTGCCTCTCGCGGATGGTAAATTAGAATCCAATTTCGGTGTAATTTCGTGCTATTAAACGCGATTGGACCCCGGAGCCCCTCTCTCGCCTCCCCTATCACTCTCGTGATCTCTTTCCGTTTCTCCGGCCGACCGGCCCCCTGTGTCCGTCGTCCTCCTCCTCCTCTAGCCTTTTCTCCACCGTTGCCATTAAGCAGTTTCCCCTCCTCGTCTAGCGCGTTCGACTGGTTCCTCGAATTAACGATTCAGCGCGCGGACTGTCCCATCCAGCGCGCCTCTCTCCTCTCTCTCTCTCCCTCTTGGATTTCACCCTACCACACTGCCAACTCTTGTCTCGTTCGTCTATTTTCTGCGCTCGGTTCGGAGTGAATAGGTATCTTGTTAAGGTAGCGCTCTCGCCCTGTGACTCTGTGACCGAGCGACAGAATCTTAATGTCCGACGCGCGTTCTTCGCGAATTCGCGCGAAGAAGCAGGCATTAGACGTAATGATAACTTCACGTTGAAGCGTTACGCTCTGGATATCTCCGGCAGGCTAACCGAAAAGGCGTATCGGCCAACACTGGTAGCGCGTAATTTCACCTCGTTACTACCATTATAACCCGATCATCGTAATCATCGGTCGATTGTCCAGGTAGTCGCAACCTACTTACGTCATTAGGGCCTGTATGCAAGTGTAGCACGCAGCGAACGCTTTTCGAAAAAGAAACGATATCGGAAGGCCTGGTCCCAAGCGGGGAAGGAATGAGTTTCTCGTTCGACGCGTAATTTCAAGCGTGCCCAGTCGCCACGGAAATTGCCACGGAATCGCGCAGGTGAATCGACACCGGCTCGCGCACACACGTGGTGGTGGTGCGTGGACGTTAACGGAGGCCTCTCGACGAGGTATTAAATAATCGTCCAATCAACGTTCGAGCAACTCCCAAAGTCTTTAGAGGGCAATCTGCATGTTAAGAGGCTGTTAATGCCTTTTCGCCTAGCTCCGCCGCGCTGCCCACCAGCCACTCGATCCCACACACACACACACACACACACACACTCGCGGCCACTGAAAACGCGCACGCACACACATACACGCCGGAGTAACGTAGTTCCTCGTGGCTGGTTCGCGCCGGAACTCTTCCCTCGCCAGGAGACAATCTCTAACGCGCACAAACCAGTCCTCTCGTTCTCGTTTCAAACCTCCGCGACACTGGCCAACCTCCGCCTCCTCCGCCACCTTCGCAGTGCTAACGCACGCCAGCCAGACCGCGTGAAAGCGACCGGATGCGGAAACTGGTTCGGGCGACAATTTATGCGCGAGTCAATCAACCCGGTAAATAGCAATTAACACCTTTTCGCATCGAACGTGTCCCGCGGAAAAACTATTCTAATTTCGCCTTTCTCTCCGCGATTGGGCGCGCGCAATTAACCGCGTTTGTAAATGTCGGAGCCCGGTCCGCCGAGTTTATACAATAAAATATGACGGCCGATTCGGATTACGAACGGCGAACGAACGAACGAACGAACGAACGGAGGTCGGTGAAAATTATAGATTTTTGAAAAACAAGGAAAAAAAAAGAAGAAAAGGGACGACGACGGTGCGCGTATCTCGTAGATTACTCGCAAATTAACGTTTCGCTTCGTAGTCTCTCATTAAATCTCCGAGGTATCGATCTCTCGTCGCGTTCTTGCCTTAACGGCAGTCGCTGTATTAAATAAAAACCATTCTTCGCGGCCTATATACCATCGTGCATCCATGCAGCGTGTCTTCGAGTTTAAATTTCAGTCTGCCCGCTGATTTTACGACTGCTCGCCGTATCGTTTTCGCTCGGCATGATACATTCTCGTCGGCCGGTGATTTTCAATTTATATTAAGCAGCCTTTTTTCCTCTCGCGGGATAATGCGGCGACGGTGATATACAGATAATGATAAAGTACAAAGTACTGGCGGGTAATCTGCGTGATAGGGTGATAATGCGATAATTGTATCCCGGCTTGATTATACGAGGCAAGAAGGCGTGGAAAACAGGATACGAATAAGTGAGCGAAGAAGAAGCAGAGATAATGCTCCGCAATATATATATATATACGTCGACGAATGTATCGTCTAAGTTTTTAATCGATAAGATTATATAATAAAAGCTTCAAAATAGCCGTGAATAATATGGGCAAACAATTCGCAACGAACGGCCGGCGAACGCGGGATTTTCAAGCAGAATTATGCGTACGGTTTAAATTCCATTCTTTCGAAACGTTGATTCACGTATCGAGCGTTCCCTGGTCCGCGGCAATTTCGCGATATACGCGTACCGCACGCGTATGCGTGTATATCGAAAAGCAGAGGAACCAGCGGGGAACAGTCGCATTGCAACCTCCGCGAGATCGCGTGTTCTGGAATCCGTAATATTTTATCCGCTCTCATCAACGGTGAACAATCGTTCTCGAATTCGGGCCAGGAATTCTCGATTGAAACGGCGTTCGATCGGCCGCTCGAAAAATTTGATAATCAAAAGGAAAAGGATACACGTTCGAAACGAAGCGGAAATACACGCGCCGTTCTCTTTCATCTTCCATCCGATTGATTTCTTTTTCTCCTTTCCTCCTCCCCCACCCGTTTTTCCGCTGCGCGAAATTACCGGTTACATTCGGGGGAGAGAGGATTTGGCTGAGCGACAGAGGAGGGAGGGAAGAGCCCTGTGGAGATCAGAAAAAGAGAGAGAGAGAGAGAGAGAGAGACAGACAGACGGTCGCGGAAGAAAAGGCTGGATCCGACGGTAATCGGCGCGGCGTGTGGAAAATTTGAGGGTCCGCAGGATGAGACACTTGGCAACCACCTGTGGCGTGGCGTTTCGAGAGGCGTTCGAATCTTGCGGGCTACCGACTGCCGAGGGAACGCGTATTATCGAATTTCCACCGGTGGATCGAAAGTCTCGCCGCGTCGGCCCTCGAGATCGTCGCTGAGCGTGAAACAGTTCCGGGTCAGCTCGCGTTGCCCGTTACGTCGCGTTCAACGTGATCGTGTGTCGAAACGATCGCTTGACGACAACTTTTACGATTTCACCGATGATCTTCAATGATCTTTCAATCGGCTGTTATCAATGTGATTTCAAATCGGGATGTAGCGACAAAGATCGTCGAAGAAAATGTACAAAAAAAAAAAGGGGGGGAAAGTGAAAAACGAATAGCAGCGAGAGAGTTCTCTTCGGTCAACGAGTAAGAATAATTCATTTAATATTCCTACTTGATCCCTATCCAGGCGAGTTTTTCTCAGACTTGCCCCTGTCCGACGTGCAATTACAAATTTCATCAGAACGATATCATCTCGGATCGCATTACGCTCGGGTCGCGGGTCCATCGGGAGACTAGACACGCCCGCGTTAAACTCACTAAATTTCGCAAATAAGGGGTTTTTGGAATTCCAGCCGGAACGTCGGACAAATCGTGCAGACCAAACATAATTTATCGGAAATACTGTGTACCTAGGCACCGTCCCTCTTGTTTCCCTCAAGTCTCATCGCGCTTCTCTCTCTCTCTCTCTCCTTTTCATCCCTTTTCTTCCTCTCACTTCGTCCCTCTGTTTGGGTTCATATAACTTCTCCCAGTACTCTCTCTCTCTCTCTCTCTCTCTCTCTCTCTCTCTCTCTCTTTCTCTCTTCTCTCCGCACACTGGCTCTCGTTATACAGGTACACAGATGCGTCTCGTTTCATCCCTGGTAATTGCTTATTAAATTCCAGGGGGATGAGGCAACAACCCGGAGCGCCCCCGTGTCACCCCCCCTCCCTCCCTCCCTCCCCCTCTAACACACCGCCATTTCTCTATCCACCTAAAGGTATGTACCGGGCCAGAAGGGAAACGACCGACAGAATTGTTTTCCCGTTACCGTGAAAATATGCCGGAGGGAGCCGGATCTTACCGCGTAATTGGATTATTAATTAGATTGTTAATGAGACAGATTCCGCGTTAAAAGGGATCGCCGCGGACGAGACGTGGAATACTCGCGCGAAATCCGGTTACCACCGCGAGACCATTATTATTCCCCGTCGTCAATGTCGAATCCAAAGAAACGAACCTTCCTTTCACGGCGGTGGTCGACCCGGAGGGGGTTGTTTGAATATATGTGGCGCGCTTCTGCTTCGAAAAACATCAGTTGGTCCTATGGTCTGCGTTCTAAGTGAACGTTCGAGAGTGGAAAATTGAGAATTTTCATCCTTAACTGATGGAGGGATTTTCCTAGATTATAATTAAATTAGTGTGTGTTAGAGAAATTAATTTAATAATAGATATAATTATGAAATACACGACTGGATTCCTGAAAATTTTCGGAGTTTACGATTTTATATTTACGATTCACTTTACATGATCTTCCCATTGATCAATAGCTCTTCTAACAAGGACTCATCTCGGCGATTCTGATATCATTAAACGCACACGAAACTGACTTCCCCTGTCGTTGGATTTCTTACCAGGCTCAAACGTACGCGTGTCCACGTATGTTTGAACTCTCTAGTGACTGTAAAAATAGCGGGAAAATTTCGAAAAAAAAAAGTTGTCCCCACCGCAAACTGCCAAACTCGAAACCCCAACAGGGGCGCAAAAGACCACGGGTGGGCGCGCCGGTTTGCAAAACGACGCATAATAATCTACGCTCCACGACGCCGGGGGTGATCGTTACGCGCGTGTGCGCCGATGACGATCGCGCGAATCCGCGGGGAATAGCACCGCGGCGCACAAAGAAACGCATCGGGCCAATTAGCGATGATCGTCGGGATCGGAACCCTCGTCAGGGCTTCACCGCCATAGATTTCTAGCTCCCAAAAACAGGCAACGACCACAGGCCGGTCCCGCGTGCCACCGCGCGCTACTTAATGGTAATGAGTCCCCGCCGTCTAAAAGGGCTGTAGGGGCTAACGCGAGACGCTGGACAGCAAAACAATTATCCGCCGCGTCCAATTACGCGCTCCTCTCATCGATACGCACTCGAAAACGGGAGCGGTCGTGCAAGGTCGTCGGGCCCTCCCCCTCCCCCCTCACCATCGCTTTGAAATCGACCAGCCCGAAGGATAAAGGGAGAAGTAACGGCCGGAAATACACACGGTCAGTGTGGTTGAGCACTGTGGGAGAGGGTGGGCACGCATACATGGGAGACCCTCTGCCACGTTTTCGTGTTTAATTGACCGGGCGACCGGGTGGTGTGCGAGCTCCTATCCACCAGCCGGGATAATGACACGAAACTGCGTGGCTTTCTCTCTGCTCTGCGTGGCTTTTCGGTGCTTCCGATTCCTAGTTCCCGGGTGCGATCCGTTTGACTTCGAAACGATTTCGTACGTATAACGTTCGCGACACTGTCCACCGCGTAGCGTTGCGCGGAAATAATTTGAAATTTTATTCGAGTTTTGAAATTCGATCGCGAAATGTCTAGGCTCCACGTGGCGCGTCACCGTGCAGAGAGAGAGAGAGAGAGAGAGAGAGAGAGAGAAGGAGAGAGAGTGGGTCGCGCGGAATTCAATTGCCGCGTATTCTCCGCCGCGAAAGGGAAAACAGGCGACATTGCGGCGGCCAGTTATGCGCGGACGGCTTCCCGACCGTGTTTTAAAATGCATCGCGGAGCCGCGCAAACGTTAGCAAAGAGTCTGCTGTCTCTCCTTTCTCTTTCTCCCTCGGGCGCCACCGGCGCAGGATTCAGAGCGATGTTTCTTTCTTGTCGGTCCCGCCATATTTAGAACGACCGACTCGGCGATAGACAACCACGATTGACGCGGCGCTAAAAAGTGACGATTCAATGGCTGCTCGTTTTGCATTTTTCCGAGTCGCGATTTTACCGGCCGAGATGCCTCGCTTGTAATTACAACGAAGGGACACGAGGACACGCGTGCAAAAAGGCGGCGAAAACATTCGATGCGTCGAAACTCGTTAGCGAGCGGACGAAAGTGGCTGGAAAGGATTTGCCAATTAATCCAACTCACCCTGCCCCCATCACCGCTCCGTTCGCGACTCGTCGTCAATTTTTTTTTTACATAATTCATGCGCATTCCCGCGCTCGTATACGTTTTTAATCGAGATTCCCTGACCCCGTAAGGAAGCTGAAAACGAGCGGCCGAGACGGCGATCGATCGCAGCGATTAATTAATCGCCGTGAGCCGAAACTTCGCGGATGATTGTGATTCGACGAACGGTGCACGCTTCGAGGTCGAGAACGTAGCTATAATTATAATCCAACTGCAGGCAACAAAGAGGTTTCGATACAATACCCTTCGTTACGGTTGCTTTTCTTTTCTTTTTCGTTTTTTTTTTTTTTTTTTTCTTCTTTTTTTAACGTACCTCGTTTTGGGCGTTCATTTCAGAGATGATTAAACGACGAGAGGAATTAATTGGTAATTGAAAGAGGCTTCCGAATAATCGAAACTGACGTTGGGTATCGACCTGGCAATTAGCCCGCAGATGTGAGCCAATCAACGAGAAAGAAACACATCTCGAATCGCCCAAACGACCACCTAATTGAGAAAGTTGCGTTTCTGTTGATTACTAATCGTAGAAACGCCTTTTTCTTTTATATATATATACGATTTTATAAAGAAAATATAATGTGAATCTCATCGAACAAATTTTAAGTAAGTTTGTCATAAAACTCGAAGAAGTTTGCCTAGAGTACCTAACATCTAAAACGTTGATATAGAATCAAATGACGACGAAGATTTACATACAAATGGGTGCACTTCAATTTCACCGTATCGATCAAAATTTTCGAAAAATATTGTAGAAGAAACAGCAGGCTATATTTTAAAAGGCGTTTTCAAGAATTACAAGTAACATCCAAGAATCCAGAGACGAATCTTCCTTCTACGTCTAGATACAACAGTGCTCTAATATTTGCACAAAAAGAGGTGCACTTCAATTTCACCGTGTCGATCAAAATTTTCGAAAAACACTGTAGGAGAAACAGCAGGCTATATTTTAACCACTTGCACTGGCAACTATTTGCGGACCATAACGAGTGACCAAACCGTATACAATAATTCGTCGCTTTTTTTTTTGAACTCGTCGGTATGATATTGCTGGATAATTACTGAAAAATAATAAAATTATTATTTGTTTTGTCTGAGGTATGATTAAGTATACCTAAAACTGAGAAAATATTGCAATTTTGGGAGAAAAAATTCTCGACGTATGAGTAGCATGTCATTCCAACGTAAGAGGTTAAAGGGCGTTTTCAAGAATTACAAGTAACATCCAAGAATCCAGAGACGAATCTTCCTTCTACGTCTAGATACAACAGTGCTCTAATATTTGCACAAAAAAGGGGTGCACTTCAATTTCACCGTAGCGATCAAAATTTTCGAAAAATACTCTGGGAGAAACAGAGCAGGCTATATTTTAAAGGGCGTCATCGAGGATCGTGAGCAACGTCCAAGAACCCTCTTTCTACGTCTAACGCCCGGCGGTTTGTCATTCGAGGCACGCCGCCATAATTTGATATATTAGGTACACATAAGCGACGGCTGATCGCGGTTATTAGGTTGGGTACACGGTACAACCGTTCCCGAACATAGTTCGACCGAACACACTGACCTGTTCGCCGACCCACCGCTCCCCGTCCCTCTTCTCGCCGATCTTCCTCCGCTCTGTGTTTCTCTTTTCTTCCTACACAACGTTCTCTCGCTCGTTTCACCCCCTCTTGCAGCAATGTGCTCTGCACACCGTGTCGCGGGCACAATGTCACGCGAACTGATGCGCGCGTGTGCACCCTCTCTTTCGAACCGAATGTCGAACCACACCTTCCCCCGGTTGCCAGAGAAATTCACATCGCGGTGCTATTTGCTATGCGGCTCGTAGCCGCAAAATACGATTATTATTATAGTCCTGTTCGAACAGCAGCGCTGACAGGCGGTCGCCTCCGCAGGTGTTTTCGCTGCCTCTCTATGCGGAATTTTAAGGGGGAGGGGTGACGGGAGGGGGAATTTTAAAGATTGGTACACCATGTATAGCCCCGAAACTCGATTACTCTCATGGCTAAACCAGAAACTTTCGCGTCCACGATTTCGCGTGCCTGTGGTTTGTTGTTGCTGTAAAGATTTCGTTAGTGAGAATCGGTTAAATGGAATCGTTCAAGCATCTGGCTTATTTATTGTTCCATTAAAACCCTCGGTAAAAAATTTAATTTACGATTATACGTCACTTTTATCGACGTGTAATTAAATTTAAAAAACTTTGCGGTATTTCGACTGTGGAAAACACGGTGGAGGAATTTCTTCGTTTATTCGAAAGTGTCTACGTACACTGCCATCTAGATTTTTCATTCACTGAAAATTGAACGGATCGTAGTTAATTACTGAATGGCAAGTTTGAATAATTTTTCTCTTTCAAATAATTGAACCTCTAGTCAAGGTCACAGTTCCTGCACGTACGAAACATTTGCCAAACGTACGCCAAATCAGCATCGGCTGATCTCAAATACCACAGATGAATTAAAAAATTCCGATACAAATTAAATTAGACCTGTGCTTTCGAAAAAACAAAAAAAAAAAAAAAAAAAAGGAAGAAAAAGGAGCGTGTTTGCCCTTTTGCTGTTGAAACAGACACACCCTTCGCAACCACTTCAAACACCGTCTGCCAAAACAACGGAAAACGTCAGACAGTATGAAACCCTGGCGAACTCTCGAGAAGGAAGTGGAAATTCGCGGAATCGGCGGATAACGACCCTGTGTCGATTCATTCGGCGTAAAGAAAAATCAACATGAATTTGCACGACGGGCCGGGGGAGGAGGAAGTGCGTTAACGAAACAGCGAGAAAGGGTGGGGGAAAAAAGGAGAGAAGGAAGCGGATAGGAACAGCCAGCAGCATGGAGGAATATATCGTGGCGTGGATTAGGGGTGAACGAGCGCTAATTCGAGTTTTTCTCTCCCTCCCCACCCCCTCCTTCTCCCCGAATCGTCGCTATTTTTACAAGCAACCGATACCAAAGTGTCCGCAGACTCGCTGCAAGAGTAAACGCGGGGGTGGTTTACCCAGGACGCGAGCTTTGACGTGTTCGCGACGCGTGTGTACACTCTGGCCACACGATCCGTGTCCCAGGCAGAAAGAAAAATTCAGACTTTCCTTCCGGCGAGCCCCGAATCGCTTTAATCGAATCACTCTTTCTCTCTTTCTCTCTCTCTCTCTATCTGGCGATCTGAAATTCCTGCGATTCGTTTGAAATTCCGAGACATTTCCCGGAAAATATAAACTCTAGGCTCGAACGAGAGGACATGGCGAGCAGGGGATTCATCGGTGAGAAAGTGAGCACTTAATTAAATCTCTCGGAACGGAGCGACGAGGGTATATATACGATCATAAAGCAGCGATTATTGAAACACTAAGTCTGTTGGCTTGAATTTTTACGACTGGTTAATCGCGATAAATCCGGCGAGCGGTAAAACGTTTCGACTTCTCAGCGCCTCCTCGCTGTTTTCTCCCCCTTCTTCCTCCTCCTTTTCTTTCCTTTTCGTATTAAAGAGACATTTTGAAAGACTCGGGCGATTTATTTTCCACGTGTCGCGCGAGCAGCATATGTTGGACAGAAAGCCTGGGTTATTCGTATATCGAGAGAAAGAGAGGAAAGAGCGTGACTACAGTAAAGGAACGAGAGTCGAAGAGAGCTTGTCCAGAGAGCGAGCCAGTTTTACCTCAACCCCTGCCAGCAACTCGATCCCTCCTCTTCTTTTTCCCGACTCCGGGGGTTGTTACCGACCGCCACACCGCTGCGCGTCCATGAATTTTAATTCTTGCCCGTCGGATCCCGGGGAAAAGGAACACCGCAAATATATTTCCTCCCTTTTTTCGTACGGCTGGCTCGAAATAAAGAGAGAGCGAAGGCCGACGTCTCGTTGAAAACGAGAGTGCTTCGCCCGATGACGCTGACTGTTCTCGATCGTCAAGCCCGATCGTTTTACCTCTCTTGTACGCTATCGGCCATAAAAATACGTATTAGAACGTTCGCCGATATTCAATGCAAGTTTCATGCTTCTCGTTTCATTAGACCGCGTGTATTTATCGAGACTGGTGTTTTTATTGACACGAATGAAATAGTGGAGGCTAATTGGAAATTTATTTCGCTCGCCAATCGTTCGTACCTTGTTTCGTCGATCGTTTGATTTTGATTATGGCGATCGCACGGGGGATAAGTGATGTGATGCGATAGACGAAGGATTTTAAACGGTATAACAGAGTAACAGTTTCAATCGACGAAAATAATTAAACGTTGATGTTAACTCAAGATTACTGCGTTTACGATATGTTGAATTAAATTCTTTATAAGAAGAGAGAAAATAGACGTAGTAGATGAATGAAAGAAGGATATTTACGCGAAGCTATAAAGATAAACGGGTACAAGCTGAGCAAGCATAAAAACGGCCATAATTCAAGTACAGGGACAAAACGCGTAAACCCGGTTTTACTATCTTTTAATTGCCAAAATAGTGGATCGCCGCGAACAATATTCGGTGGGCATCATCAAATTTTACGTCCGTTTCTATGGTATCTTGCACTGTTCCATTTACATTAACGTTTCCAACAAATCGCTCATAAAAGCCCTCCCCCCTTCCCCGCATAATTAACGATGTGTCTACAACGGGTAGGTATCAATAACGAGATAACCCAAGTTCAAATATCTTTCTAACTTCTTTGTTTCTCAAGAGAAAAAAAAAAAAAGAAAAAATTCTTATCATTTAGAGAATTTAAAAGAAACACGATCAACGAAATCAACGACGGTAATTGAACTCGCTCATTTACCGATATCAACAACGGCTAAAGGATGTTCCCAGATCTCGGGATTCGGGAAAGCCTGCGAGAAGAATACCTGTTCAAAGTTATCCGGGGACAATGGCTTGTTGAAACGCGCGTGGCACGTGGAATACCACTGGAACAAGTCACGACGGTTTCCGGGAGCGAGAGTTGCGCGATGATCTCACCGCGAAGAATCCCTTCGGCGCCGCGACCGTTAAAATCGCTCGCCGGGACCGTTAACTTCGATTATCCCTGGCAATTAGCGAAGTTCAGTTCACCGCGAAACGGCTGTCTTCCATCTTCCTGTCAACGTTCACAATTTGTCCGCCATTAAGGGCTATCGATCCGCGTGCGCTGCCGCGGACCCACGCGGCCTAACCGCGCGAACGTTCGAAGATCCCCATGGAAATTCCACGATCGTTGCCAGACGCATGTTCATTGCTTCTTTCATTGCTTGCGCGAATATGCTGCAACGTAATTGATTATTGGATAACTTAACAGTGATTGATCGTCGCGTCTCGTGAAGCGATGATTCTTGTCCACGTATCGACGATGAACATATCGGTTGATGTTTTGGCAGAGCTCTTCGAACTTTCGAATCTTCTGTTTGATGTTCTGAATAATAGGAGAGGCGATCTTCAATAACCAAGAAGCAGGAATTTTTAAAACTGTCGAGATTGAGATTAAAATCATTTCAACCCTCCTGCTGTGTCGGTCACAGTTTGATCACCTGTGCTGGAAGTTGCTTGTGTTAGCGATCGCACTAACGCATCGTGCGGCTGTGTGCCATGTGTTCGCCAAATTGCCGAAGTGACGACGACTAAAGACGAAAAAAATCAGTTTCGTGGTAACGTTCTGAGGAAGAGAGACGTGTGCAGCAAATCGAAGCAATTTTTTATTTCAAAGTTTATTTTATATTTTAGTGCTTTTATCATTGTTTTAGTATTTTAGTATTTAGTATTTAGTAGTTTGTATTATTTTTTTTAGTATTTTATACTATTTTTGTATTTAGTATTTAGTATTTTATATTATTTTTGTGTTTACTATTTAGATTTGTGTTTAGCACTATTTTAATACTTTACTATTTTTATTATTAATTTACTGCTTTTATTATTATTTTTGTTCTTTTTATTACCTTTTCCGTTGTTTCTATTTGTTTGACGCAATACATATTTAAGGTTATCCGGCTCAACGATACTGTACAGAGGTCACTCGAGACCGAGGTTCTCACCGATATTGTACCAACACAGTGACAGACACCTGACTCATAGGAACTTGTAGGAGTATAAGGAACAAATAATAGTCACATGACTAATAAAGTTATATATAATCATTATATATTTATGTCATTACATACTGTCAGGAACGTCTTGCGCAGATTGAGCAAAAGAAGACAAAGGAAGATTGCTCGTTGGCAATGAACAAGTGAGATATCCGTGTGGGTCAAAATGACCCCGACACAAGACGCTGGGGTTCAGTAGTCGGAGGGTTAAATTTCAAATTTTTAAACAAGCATTTAATGATCTAATGATCTCTTTGCCTGTAAAATATCTAGCGAAGCAAAAAACAGAAAACAAAAAAAAAAAAAGCAAAATTGTGGAAAAAGAGAACTGAACTACGATGGTCGCAAGGAAACATGCCAGGTTCACGAACGTCCATTACGTTCACGAAAACGGCGAGGATGGAAGGAAGGGAAACGACGGGCAAAAGGGAAACGCAAGGAAGAAATTGCAGCGACGTTGATTCGTGTGAGCGGCAACACCGGACGGTTTCGAGCTATTTCCGATATGGGGGCGGCATCAAACGGAGCCACAAATCACTCGGAAAGCGCAGATTTGTCGAGGCCACGATTTAATTTGGCCCTGGATTAAGTTGCCCCGCGGCCGACTCGCTCGTATTACGTCTCGGATTTATCGACGCTTATTTGCGGCACGCGCGCACCTCCATTCTCTCCTTCTCTCTTCCTCCTCTTTGTCACTTCCCTCTGTCCCCCGTCCTTTCTTATTCCACCCCTTAAGCCGACAGCCTAACTGGAAATGATCTCTCATTTGGCGAAAAGGTATTTCCCGCGTGGCGAACCACGAGCGAAGAGTTTCTCGAGAAATAGCGGGATACATCGATGTATCGGGGGAATAGGATTGGGAAATTTGAACGTGTTTGAGAAACAATTTTGTTGGTCG